AAGCCGCCTCTTAAAGGTTACTTTTGCTTCGGCTGAAGGAAAAAACCTGATACTGAGAAAGTCATACAGGCTGATTGGATCCTGAATATATGTCCGTAAGGAGCTCAGCCTGATTTACCATATCAAAAGGCGATCGGCAGAAGTAGAAATAAATGAGTGCCTCCAAAACGGCGAAATAAACCTTGGAGGCAAGGGCTTTCAAATTTTGAAATTTCCGAGCAGAACGTTCCACGAATCACTCTGGGTGGTAATGGAAAGTTGACCACAGAATCAATGGTGTGCTACACAAATGCTCACAGCCTACTAAACAAAATGGTTAAGCTCAAGACAATGGTGGAGTTGCAAAAACTGAATGTCTCAGAAACATGGTTAACGTCAAAAGTGTTTGATAACGAGGTTCGACTGACTGGTGTTCTATACAGTGGAGCTGATAAACTTAACCGTAGAGGAGGTGCGGTTATCCCGTATACATAAAGTACCTTAACCATACGAGTTGTTGAGACAGTGACACACTATTCAGGGACATGTGAAGTTGTGCATTGCAGACTGAAATGTAGACAGTAAAATATTGAATCAGTTGTAGTATATCACAGTTCAGAATGTATGTTAGATGACTTCCTCCTAAGCAAACTTAAGTCCTGATATAGAAGAGCTGAAAGCCGTATAAAAACGACTTTAATGAACCGTATATGAACTGGAGAAAACTAGAAGTAGGGTCATCGACAATATCATTTGATTGAGAATTGTTAGAAACTATTGTAAGATCCAATAGTTCTGGATGTGGTTGAATAACTACAGTAAAAGTTTAGAAACGCGTTTCAATTGAAATCAAAACAAAGCGTTTGATGTAGTAACGGTTCTAAATTTCTTCATATATACAAAAGTACAAATTTACCTAAACAAATATTACTACCCAGTTATTCAACCGACAATTGATACCAAAATATTCAATCTAAATTACAATGAATTGTAAAGTGGTAAGAAATATATGAAAAATTACCAAAAACACCAAAAGGTAAGCGTTATTCTATCCTTTCTGGATAGATCAAGTAAGATTCCGTTTGAGCGGCTGTTTTATAACGCAAAGTGTTTCAATTTCTGGGAAAGTGCTCCAAATTACAACCAAAATGCACGATCCCAATCAAAATCAAACCGCACAATCAAAGAGCGAGCAGTCAATTTGGCAGCCGCCAGAATAATAGCAATTAAGACAAATTGTGTACAGTTCAAGAAGAATATAGAAACCCAATGAAAGCAACAAAAGAAACAGAGCAAACTATCATGAAATGAAACATCACGATGCAAAATAGTATCAAAAAATACTAACAATAATGTACAAACAACAAAAACATTGAGGAGAAGTTATAGATGTATGTATGGAGGGATTTTCACACACGAAACGTTCAAATGGATTCTACAACTATAACTGCATTAGGTTTATCATAACACATTAGTGATCCCACCAGATATGACTTAGGAAGCTCCTCGTCTCTCTTGGACTTCATCTTTACACACCGTTATGATGTCGATCAAATGACTTTTCTTTCACTTCCAGATAGTGATCATGCTGCCATCTTATTCAAGTTCATGACTAAGATGGCATGTCAAACAGCTGGGCCAGCCCGTCATAACATATAGGTATCAGACATCTTAGAGGACACCGCATGAGAGTAGAAAAGCCACGAACGAACAAAATACACCTGACATACGGGTTTTCTCATCGAGTCGTCAATTCCTGGGAACTGTTACCTGAAACAGTTGTGTTCACACCTTCAAGTGACTCATTCAAGAGAAGAATAGACACTCATATAAGCTTACTAGGAAATGACCAACATAGGCTGTAGGCCTTCTGTTCTTATTACACAAATATGAATTTGAATCTTACACTGTTGCGAAACTGTTATTTTATGAGGATTCAAATTCCGCTATGTTCTAGAAAAACAGTTATCTCATAACATTAACGTATTGCAGTTGTGCTCACCCTTACCGTTGTGTTATCCTCAAAACACATCTCAATACTGTATATCCATGGTCTTATTCACATCCGTGTTAGAGTGATTGTATGTGACCTAGGAGAGCTTGTTAACGAACACAGCTCAAATCAATTTTAAGAACTGTTTGTGAATTTGTTTAAGATGTACGAGGTAAATTTAAATTATTTCATTTTGTACTCATTAAGGCTTCAGGATCATCCGCCACACCACTATTGTGAAGTATTTTTCTTCGGCTTGCGATCGTCATTTCCTCTGTTTTTCACTTTTTACAATGCCGACGAGCGACTGATTTTTGCAGACACTTACGGGAATACCCAATAATAAATCTTCACCTCCAAGTATTCCATCACTTTGCTTCATAGAAATTATACCTCATCAAAGATAAGTACACCCCATATTCTTTCGAGTTTATTGGTTATTTTTCCAACACACAATTTTTAGACAGTCGGATTACGGGGATATCCATAAACAATAGTTTATCAAGTAAACCTTTGATTATATCTAACTGATATCGCTCTAAATTTTCACTGTGGTTAACTCTGTAAAAGTTAACTGACTTTAAGGTGATCAGTCTATTCTTTTCCAACCACAGATGAGCAGACAATCGTTCCTAGTCCCATTCAAGAAGACAAAAGTAGACAGATAAGAAGCCACCGACAATTTGTTATTACAATATTAATATTCAAATAGGGGTCCTGAGTGATTTACTGCCTTATTTTATGTAGACAATGTTTTTTTATCTCCACTATTAAATAATGACATTTTATTTGTCTTATCAAGGTTGATCTTCAACACTTGCTCCTCCATGGCATATAATCTACGTTATGACCAGATAATTAAAGCAATTTTTCAACTGTACGAGTAAGTGAGGGAATAGTCATCAGTTCAACAGCATCAAAATATATTTCAATTTTCCTATCTTCTATTAGGTTGAATCACCAATGCTAGATATCCATCTGATGAAGAAGACACGAGTCACTGATGATACTCGTTTTGCAACCTGTCGTTTTCATTCTTTGTTTTAATTGTACCATTTCGTAGTAGCCCAATTCCTACTCATTATCGTCTGATAAAATAGCCCAGCTGACCTCTTATTTTACCTTGAATTAAAGGCTAACTAGGAATGTATATTGCCAAAAGTCCTACAAACATAATCTTTTTTTTCTTTCTGCATATACTACTTTCTTCAATGTCGATAGATGACATCGATCCCGACCTCCTCGGGCGGACATCCGAGTATCATTTCCGACATAAGCAAATAATTAAAAATTCTGTTATTTACATGATGCGTCGGTACGTTTTGTGCTTTCCAGACTTTTACAAAGCCTGATAATCCAATATGTACCTTTATTCTCCATAGTGATGAACTATGGGATAATCTTTTATTAATGATCATCTGTGTAAATGCGATAGTAAAGAGATACAATTCATGAATGTGCCTAAATTCAGGGTGACTTAATTTACTTTGAATCGTTTGAAACCATTGAGAGTGAATAACTAGTAGTTTTCAATTTTTAAAGTTGTGAACATAAATATATCCAAAATAGTAACACTGTGGTGTGCTACTGATGTCGACATATAAGTAGTATGTATCACCAGTCGAAAGTGAAATACCTGGAGGCAGAAGGTTAGGAAGATTGAAAAAAAAGAGAACGAGAACATACAATTATTGCTGTGAAAATGAAGGAACAATAAATTCTGAGAGGATTTATGAAGTATTTACTATGTTGTTCTCAGATTTTTACTAAGATATTCTGTAATGTTGCATTTCAGATACACTCAATTGTCCCCACATGTGTTCTCGTTCAGTATGACACTATTATATTACTTATGTATAAACAATTGCGTAAAGACATGGGAACATAAAAGTTGTGTTGGAGAGAAGACTTCAAATGTTTTATTTTCAGCTTGATTATCCTTCTTTGATCGTCGTCTTAGGGAGTTGTGCAATCATCTATAAATTCCTCAAGACTGTTTGTAAGACTATCACTACTAGGAAGACTCATGTTTGTTATTATCAGCTTATAAAATTAGCCCTCAGTTACGAGGAAAAGTGTATTTATGGGCTAGCCTGGCAAGGTCAATAAGTTAATCCTAGTGATGAGTCTTCTTGAAAGATGCAAAGATCTTATAGATTATATGAATTTCTAACTAACAACAATGAAAACCTACCTATAAAGAATAATTTTCTGTATATTCATTTGCTAACTTATTTTTAGTATACCTTATAAAGTACTTTCATTAGTTGTCCTATCATCCATTCTTTACTGGTTATTCATAACACAAGCAATTAAAATGTTTAGTAAAGTCATAAATAATCATGTCCTCAATAGACCTGAAGCACTGAATACTAATGAATTGAAATGTAGTTTCTCAGGAGTAAAAGAAACTAAATTCAACTTCAAGTATATATATAGATATATGAACATATATATGTTTAATAAATGAAATAGAAGTTTTAATAATACAGAAACAAAAATAATTGGATGTGATTTAATTTTTATGAATCAAAATTATGAAAGATAAATGTTTCAATATAAAGTCATAGGTATGTCTCTATTCTCTAAAGTTTCAAGGAAAAAAAATTCAGTGTTATCTTGCTGATAAAGAGTCCAATGAAATCGAAAAAAAAGCATTAAAAATAAACTAGCTAATTTTGTAAGCTATAGCAAAAATGATTGTGATATTATTAAATACTTTACATTATGATCATATAGACGGTGACAGGATAAAATGCATTGTTTACTGAACCGAGAAATCAAATATATTGTATATGTTTAGTGAGGTGAATATCCGTCGATTAAAATTGAACAGCAACTGGGGTGATAAAGCAGACTAGTGAATTAGGCTTTGAAAAGGGCAAAGCCTTTCATTAAAGGCAAGCATACAAATTAGACATTTTATTTTCATATCTTTCGTGCACCTTCATTAATTGATATATATATATATATATATATATATATATATATATATGATTGGTTGTACAGATTAGTTATATACAGAATACTATTCATCTGTTGTCTCTGGTTTCGGAGCAGCTTTAGGAAGGATACCAGTTGGAGGGACAGTTGCATTTTTACCTTCCTCCAAGTGGAAACGCCGGTAATACAATTGAATTTGTGTAAAGACGCATTTCCAGTCAGGTACTTTCATACGCATTAAATCCTCAATGTCGAGTAACGGAGAAACATTGCCAAGTTTCCTGTCAATAGATACAAAGAGAATCAATGGAATATTCAGGATTACAGAAATTTCAAATTAGTTGTTTTCTAAGTAGGTAGATGAAAAACACTTTAAACTGGTTGAATATTTGCTCAAAGGCACTCTGTTTTCAAAAGTTCACACTTTATACGGTCGAATATATATCAGAGATACGCAAAACAGATATTAAATAGGAGTTTTTGAGATAACAAACTGAATTTTTATTTGGATCTTAATATCCTGAAGGGAAAATGCTTCGTGAGAAATTTAAGTGAAACACTTGTCAACACTGAAGATTGATGGTTGGATTTAGTTAATAGAAACTCTTGACATAGGTTTCTAGTTTTCGGGACTACCTGTAGCCACCACCTTATATCTCAACATAGTGTAAGTGATGCATATATATATATATATGTAACTTCTCAATATGATAATAATCACAGTAACAATGATAGTCAAATTCTGTTAAACATAGTGACAATGAAATAGAACAAACGAAGGCATTAAAACGTCATTTTCTAATCAGAAAAACTAATAATATTTTAAAAGTTGAATTGTCAGCTGAGAAGTCCCATATTAGCTTAGCTATTTTAGCTTCAATAGACTCATGAATTCAACTTTTAAAATATTATTAGTTTCGCTGATTAAAAATTGGCGTTTTAATGCCTTTGTTTATTCTATCTCATTGTTACCATGTTTACCAGAATTCGACTATCACTATTATTGTGATCATTATCATTTTGAAAAATTATATATATATATATATTGTCCACAGATTTCTGTTAGTACCTAATTAATGGAAAAGTTAGTTGACCTAGTCTGTGTTTCAGAGATTATGATCAAAAGGATTAATGTGGTTTAGTTTTATAAAACCTTCTTACTCTTTCTTTGAAATGTAGTTCACTTTAAAAAAATCATTTTTTCTATCTTTTTCAAATATAATTCATCATGTATTGAGCAAAAAAATTACTTCTTTACAATAAATAATAAAGATTTCAATATTAGCTGTAGTTCAAAAATCTTATTTCTTTCTATCAATGAAATAATACCAACCGTGAATATGATTTGGTGTATAACTCTACTGAATTAAAAGTAATATATAACTCCGCCTGTAGCTCTTCTAGATTCACTGAAGGTTACAAGCTCGGGTAAAGGAGGAGGGTTGGGCATGTGGTTAGCGACCCCATCCCGTAGAAAATCTAACTCGCTAAAGAAAACTATAACCAGAAAAAATAATTCAAACCATTTAAACTCTGCCCTGGGAGTTGAAGGAATAATTATGACGTCTCATAATGGAAGCCGAATTTTCATTCATTCAGTCTTCGGAAGTCACGAGACCGATGCATCTTCTAACAACCAGAGCAACACTCTTTATAGGTACATGGAATGTCCAAGCAATGTGGGAGACCGGGATGACCAGTCAAATGGCAATAGAAATGAGGAGATACAGAGAGTTTAAACAGCTTGGTAATTTCATTGATCGTTATCTATTCGCCTTTCTCTCTCTCTTTATATATATATATATATATATATATATATATATATATATATATATATATATATATATATATAATAGAGTAATAAACTAGATAAACATTTTGCTAAACTAGTTATATGAAAAAGCATAAACAATTATGTCATCTAAGTAATCTTTCATTTTATAGACTAATCTGTATAATTAAAAGTGTTGAGTAATTTCAATATACTTCACTTTTAGTAAGGGTGATGGCTTTAAAAAACGGTAAAATTATATTTTACTAAGTAAAAATGAGCCGATAGAACTATATGATTTTTTTATATATAAGCAATATAACATTCTAAAATATTCTTCATCATAGCATTATAATGAAACCTAAGTTCAATTCACTTACTATTGTTTGTTTGAATCTTCCCATTGATGGTTAAGACTGCAACTGCTCAGTCTCTTATTGGCATATGTGCATACTGTGCGTATTGCCTCGATATTGCCTTAATTCACAAGTATTATAAGCAAAGATGGATAGTGGCTAGCAGTGGGATCCAGGACGCGAGTTTCGTCCTATTTGGGACTCGTCAACTGGATGTACCTGCATAACAGAATTGATGTTCACACTGGCTGACCATTTGCAGTTCTAAGCATCAATGGGAAGATTCAAACAAACAGTATCAAGTGAATTTAAACTTCAACCCATTGCACAAGCAAGTGGTTATCAGGACGCAGTAGCCGAGTGGATAAGGCGATGGCGCTTGAAGAGAACGGTACTGAATTCGAGTCCCAGAGTGAAGATCAATTTTGAGATGCAGGTACATCCGGCTGACGAGTCTCGAATAGGACGAAAAGCTAGCCACTAAGTTCAATTATTTTCAAAATCAAATTATCAAACGCTTTTATACTAATGACTTTCATTTAAGTAAATGAACTATATTTTTGGAAGAAAGGAGATGGTATTTCATATTCGAATTTAACAGTATGTTAGTGGTGTTATGAATTATTTCTGCTTTTTGTTCAATAAATCAATTCACTTGAACAACAATTTGTAGGTAACAATGTCAACGTTGGACTTGATATTTTTTAAACAAATTGAGCGTTGGGTAGAAAATTAATAATAAATATATTTTTCGTTATATCAAAACCAGTATAAAAACAGTATTTCTGACGTTTCGTTACCTAGTGTAAGCCACCTCTTCTGAGATTTATTCACTCTGAGAAAATGGATTACATTAAGTTACAAAACGTTGGGAATGCAATATTTTTACTGATTGGGATTTAAAAATATATATATGTATATTTATTATAAAACATTTTGTTAAATACCACATGTTCTACTTTTTTATAGGTAGTATTGTACCAAGGTAGCCAGGTAGCTAATTAAAATGATATTTAGGTTTTGAACTGATGTAAGTCCTTGTGAAGCGTAAATGAATCAAAATTATCTGATCAAATTCAAAAAATATACAATCAAAATCATAAATGAATAGAGAAGTGAAAGTTTTCAGTAAATGTTTATTTGTTCTCTTAATGTTTTTTATTAAGTTTGGCAGCATTCTGGAAGTGCCTGATACTCAACTACACTGTAACTTCAATAAATAAATAAATAAAGTTTGCTCAGTGTGAAATGAGAGAATAAGAGTGGTTAGCAGTTCTAATCGATGCTCTATGGTGGTGTTACATTCTCTTAACTGAATGGTTTGTTAGCAAAACCTTTATTGTCCCGTCGAACATTATTATCCTCTTCGGAAAGAAAACGATTCAACCATGAGAAAACTACATAACAAAATCACGTTTTTATATGTAACAATTAATAGTATTATTACCAGGTAATCTTTCATTTTCGTTACGATGCTCAGATGGCATCATTTTTCTAAACACCTTTGTTTCTTCTACCTAAGTTGTTTTTTTCATTTCTGTTTTGTGCCTTCCCACGTATCAGTAAATTTCGGAGAAGTTGTCCTACTTTGTTTGAAATTAAATTTTAAAGAGAATCTAACAACAATAAAAAAGTCGAACAATAAAACTATTCAAAAGAGATTGAAAAGATTTCATTTTGGCTACTTTTATTGTGACATTTCATTGTTTTGTCATACTACGGATAAGTAAAATTGACCTACATAACAATACAGTTATGTTTTTACAACATCGCTTATATGAATTTATATATATTTATATGTCGTGTTATGTGTGTTTGACGCGGATAATTTAAACAATATACATATATAACTGTTTCATTAAAGCACAAAACTTTTTGACTAAAATATTAAAGCCATAACTGCTCTGCGAACAATCAAGTTAAGTATTCCATATATCTTGGAATGTTGTACAAAAAACGGTCATCAGCTATTATCATTTATTTCCTGAATGATATACTTTTTAAAAAAATCTATAATGTTAATTCGAAGTGAACGAAGAAAGTACAAAAGCACATTGATTACGTGTCGAATGGGAAAAGACAATATTTGGACTTTTTTACTGTCGGATCATCTTTTCTGCTTCTTGATAAGGTCATTTGCTTGATTGATCCCAGTCGAATTTTTTAATTTGTTTAGATTTGACAGCAAAATCTGTACGATTATTACTACATGCTTAACAAAGTAAATATTCAAACCTCAATGTATTATTAAAATGCCTCATAATATTTCCCTTTCATGTGTACTACTCTAGACTAAGTCGATAAAACTATCACCAGATATATCCCTAATTAAAAACAAGAGCATTCTAAAAGGACTATTAGCCGTAGGATGAGTGACTAAACGGATAGCTAAAATAAAACAATAATCCATTTGTTTAATTTAAGATAATTATAGAGAGACTTTTTTGAAAAGAAAACTATTTCTGAATCTTAAAAATACGATGAGCAAAGATGGACAATGGCTAGCAGTGGAATCCAAGACGCACGTTACGTCCGATTCGGGACTCGTCAGCCGGTCGTACCTGCATTTCAAAGTTGTTGTTCACTCTGGGACTCGAACTCAGTACCGTTCCCTTCAAGCGCCATAGCATTATCCACTCAGCTACTGGGCCCTGATAACCACTTGCTTGTGCAATAGGGTGAAGTTTAAATTCACTTGGTATTGTTTGTTTGAATCTTTCCATTAAGGCTATATTGAAGCAATACGCAGTATGCACATATGCTAATAAGAGACTTATCAATTGCAATCCTAAGCATTAATGGGAAGATTCAAACAAACAATACCAAGTGAAGTTCAGCGAAGGGATCTCTTTTCAATGAATTTATTATCAAGCTGTACAATCGTATAATAATAAATTCGTTGAAAAGAGATCCCTTCGCTGAACTTCGTGTTTTAATTTTAATGTCTAAATGGGGATTATATGCCAATACCAAATGCATCCAAAGAAAAATATGTTTCATTTTAAATAAGTTAAAGTCGTTTTATTTTGAATATTAGGAATTCGATTTTAATGTTTATGCATACCAGCCTGAAATATAAAAGGTGTTCCCATTAAATAATCTCAGTTTTTATCGAACCTATATATTCATCTAGATTAAAGAAGTACAGTATGACTAATTTATTCGATTTTAGTAGTTGATCTTCATCTGTTTCACTGTGGCTTCAGCTACCGTTAAAAAACTCCATTAGAACATTGTTGCTACAAGCCGAGGTATAGCTCATTTTAAAGGCAGTAAATCCAATGGTTCGTCGCGTTACGACCTAGTTGAATAAAAAATATATATGCAAAATGAAGAAGCATATCTGTAAGTCTAAACATGCATATTTTTTTACAACCTACTCAGCTTTTTCAAATGCCAATTCAAAATTTGCTCGTTTATTTTTTGGATCCAATGTAGAGAAATCAAATGAATCCGGATAAAAGTGATGAATTAATGCACAAAATGCTAAACCGTCACCCCAGCTACTTCCGAAATTTTGTATGTCCACACCCTGAATACAAGTAAAGAAAGAAATGAAGCAATCAATAACAGTAGTATACGACAAGGCAGAAATTTAAATTGTAGTATGCCAAAATAATAGATAAATCAACTCAATAAAGGAATATTGATATCAAGGAGAAATGTCACTGAGGTCTTATATCGAGATGATAATAGTAGGTTTTCACCGTAAAAGGATGTTATTATCAACGTGGATCTATGGTTTGTGTGAAATTACAACATGAAACAATGTTTCATAGGAAATCAAAAATTGTTAGTTAAGCATACTCTGAGTTATGTAAGATATATTCGTACTAAACATTGGATGCTTCATTTATTCTTTCAAATATAATAGTCTCAATTGACCAAGTCAATTTTGAGAAATATTTGATCTTAGAAGGATAAAGAAAGCTTACAATCTCCCGAAAATAAACTATTTTACATTGATGCATAGATATTTAAGGTTCTATACAATATTAAATTAGCTTTAAAGAATTTGAAAGCTCTAGGACGTAGTGCAACCACATAAAACGTAGTTGTAACATTAATTTTATGATCAACAATTGAATGTTGCAGTTAAAAATGGTATTATTTTTTCAACTGATATCTTATACTGAACTAACAGATGCCGTTATATGAGTTGTCGGAGTAACCGAAGTTTGATGGTATGACTTTATAGTACTGGAATTACCTTTTACATAGTTGAAGTAAACAGATGAAATTAATTCACTAGTTATACATATTGAGAGTAAAAAATAATACTGAGCCCATAAAATATCGATAAAATCAGAATGTCTGAAGGATGGGTATAGCTGTGTACTTATAATTATTCTTTTTTATTATTAATTACAATGTTAGATTTTTCTTATAAGTCTTACTGTACGGATTAGTAAAAGAATGCCATATGTTGACTAAAAGTTTTTTCTTTAATTCTAGAATTAATGAAATATTAGATTTGATCGAAACAAGGCCTTATGGAGTGATATATTGGTTCAAATTATTTCATTTGAAACGTTATATTCAAATCGAATGATCATTTACAGTAACCAATGTAATATTTGTTTGGTTCTTAGTGTTGTTTGAATTCAATAGATCAAGGTACAGTAAGTTCATTAGAAAAACTTACCAGTAGTCTAGGATTAGTGGCTACATTGCAAGATAGCACGCAGAATTCAATCAGTACTCAAAACGAGATAAATACGACATTTGTTACTACTCAGTATTTAATCGCCCTGAAGATCTTATTTCTACAGATAGCTGATTCCGGGTCAAATAACCTAGTGGTAACGTTTCTGATTGTAAATCTGAATGATAGGTTCGAATCCTGGATGACGAATGCCGTCCCCTATGAATTTTCATTTATCCTCTACTGATGGATGGCATCAAATACAAAATTCAGCTTTGATACTTTCTCTAAATTGCCATCAATATCAAAGCAATCTGAACAAAGGAAAGTTAAATCTAGGAATGTAAACATTTCCTTGGGATAAACACAGTTGAGAAGTAGAGACTATTGATGTTTCGGACAAAGCAAAACATTAAATGAATAATACTGGACTGTTAGAATTACACAACTATTTCATCACCTGAGGTGATCACAATAATTCATGTTGGACAGCGTACATCCTCATACACAGTCTACGTAATTAAGCAAACATTTTCATGAACCGCTACAATTCGCTTTTCACGAATAACTCTAACCTTTGTGAAATAACACCCTTTTGTGGATGAGGATGATATAGCCAAATAAATATCATAGCTGAGTTAATTTTGTCTATTGATTTTGAATTAATAAAGCTATGAAATCAGTAATTATCAAACAAGTATATTTTTTGTACTATCATCTAGTGGCTAGTTAGTAGATCACTTATAGATAAATTTGTGTACACAAATAAAAATAATATTCTTCACAAGAAGACTTATGTATTTGTCAAGATTCTATGAGGCTCTTTAATTAGTCGGCGAATTTGAACTGTCTTTTCATATGAAATAATAAAATTTATGCTTTAATTATCACGAAAGCTAAGAATAATCAAATGTATAAAATTTTATCAATGATGTTTTACTCTTTGGTTATGAATGGCTTTCCTATCAACTTGACCTGAGTACCGTACACAGCAAATATGTTTTCTCACATTCATATTTCTTCACAACGATAAAGACAGAAATAAGAAAGCCTACGAAAATGCTATATTAAGAGGAGAGTATATAATTTAATGATTTATAAAACTACATTAGGTTCTACATGCAGTGAAATAGAAACTTCATTAAAAGATACTGACCTGAAGCTAGTAGTATTTTATTATTCTTTTAGATAGTAATTCCATTATGTTACAAAGTTACTTTTGCATGGAATGAGGTTGTTTCATTTAAAAAAAATTATGTTATGTTATACAGAAGTTGCTTATTTATAATTAGATACATCATGTTTCGTTTACCATAAAATGATTCAACTTTTTAAAAATGAAATTTTCTTCTGTACATATTTGTCAGCTGGAAGCTGGTTTGTCCTCTCCCATAAAACGCTGGGAGAGGACAAACCAGCTTCCAGCTGAAGAGGAAATTAGGAAAAGACGTTGGAAGTGGATCGGACATACATTGAGGAAATCACCAATGTGCATCACGACTCAATCCCTAACTTGGAATCCGGAAGGGAAGCGGAAAAGAGGAAGGCCAAAGAACACACTACGCCGGGAAATAGAAGCCGATATGAAAAGGCTGAATAGTAACTGGAAAGAACTGGAAAGGAAGGCTCAGGACAGAGTTGGATGGAGAATGCTTGTGAGCGGCCTATGCTCCTCGACGAGGGGTAACAGGCGTAAGTAAGTAAGTAAGTACATATTTGTCATGATCAAAAGTACTGTAATACATACTATATCTGATGGGTTCTAGTTCATAATAACTGACAAAATTACATATAACTCATTAAAGGTAATTGTCAGATTGAATTCTTTATACCATAACAGTTTTATTTGGGAATTTGTGATAATATGATAATCCTTTTATGATAATTTTCTAAAGTCTGAACTCTAATGAATGATAGTACTTACGGATTACTTTAAATGTTTAGCACACAAAAAGATCAGGGATATCAGTAACTTTATAAACATTTCACGTGATTGTACTAAGACTTTAGTAGCAAAAAGTACAATACTCCATCAGTGATATACACTCTACATGATTTTGTTATTCCTTAAACCTAACATGTCGATAAATGGGTCTGTAAGACAATGTTAGTAGTGATAGGATCTAAACACCGATTAAAAGAATACTAAGCTTTTGATCCAGATTTTTTTGCAGTGTATTCTCTTGACAAATGTTAAATAACATATTAAACTAAAGTTAGTTACCTCATATCCTTTAGTTACAGCTTTACACCAATCAAGCATAATCTGTTTTGCATTAGGCTGAGCTCCTTTTCCACCGGATGCGAAACTGTAATGTATTCAATAATCAATAAACGAAATACATAATTATTTATTGCAATAAATATATTTCTGTTATCTTCAAATGAGTACAGAAATTTTCTTTCTTACGTTTAGTGACTTAATGTAAGTCACTTCTTCAGAGTAAATAAATAACCGACATTAAATCAACACAATTTAAATTGTACAAAGGAAACAATGAAACTATCAAGTCCAACCTTGGTACTGATACCTTTTTTGTTATTGTATATTAATCTGTAATATTATCGTCCGAAATTTTGGGTATACGGTGTGTTTACTGTAACAGTTGTATCCAATGCCTGTTTTCACCAAGATCTTGCAAAATCTTTAAATTATTGTTAAGTAAAATGGTTAAAAATAATTGAATTATAGTGATTGAGTTCTCAGCTCATTGACAAGAGATGTAACAAAATAATTCAGTCGAAGCCTTTTTTTGACAATTTACTTAGTGTATTAGCACTTCCTATTGTTTCTGATTAAGTACAGAATTTGTTCAAATAGCATTTTTGCGACGGCATTTGAAAATCATCGTTAGTAAACAAGTAAATACGATGTAATTAAAGTTGAACGTTGTCGATTGAAAAAGCTATTTTTCTAGGAAAAATACTTTGAAAAATACATAACTTGTACTCGAATCCATTTAGTCGTTTAGAATATCGAAAATTTCATAGCTTAATTCATGGTGCTTCACATTTCTGATGGTACATTATGTAGTTCAACATATTAACGTGTGTATTTTCTACGTGTATTTGGTAATACTGGACTAATGTAAATCAGTATTAGTAATGGTTCTTAAGCTTCAAATTTTACAAATAGTTTTAAATATATCAATGAACATTCAGTCTCGTAATAATTTAGTTTATACAAAATTCTAGACTCAAAATGAGATACAAAACTGATTATGTGGTGTATTGTTGCCACAAATATCACTTTTTAATACAAAAAGTGTTCATCACGTAAGAACATTGAAATTGTACAAAAAAATCTGTTCGTTAACCAAATCCCACGACAACAAAAAAGTACTATGAGAGTAAGTAAATGAAAAGAGAGACACTTGAATTACTTGTAGATCCTCAATATCCTGCAACAAATAAATGTAATATTTAGATTGTTTAATTATTTCTATCAATGTGAAAATAGGTGAGGAAAATCATTTCTGAAGAATTAGTAAATGATATTATATTTGAGTAGTATGTGTAAATATACATCATTTCTGCGTGAACTTTCAAGTATTGTCATTATGATAGTTTTGATGAACTCCATAGACGACATTTTGTATGAACTTGTTACACTGTGGAAAATGGTTTCTCTCCCAAATTAATTTCATTACCTACATATATATTTGTAGGGTTTAATTATACAGCCTCTTTAATGTTACTTGTATATATTTAACAGGTACATTAAAAAGGTACATTTAAAATTAGTTTTTGTTAATTTACTCCTCTGATCACTTAAAAGCTAATTTTTCAGAATTAAAGTAACTTGAATTTGTGTTATTTCCGTCTAGAAAGATTATAAATTATCGAGAAAGGGAATTATCCATAAGTCTCATTGATCTTCATGGTGATCAACAGTCTTCAATTAACCTATCATGTTTGTTACAACTGCAATCATCTAATATTATATTACATGTTTGAAAAATTACAACTGAGCTATGCAGATTATAATCAAAGTTCTTAACTGGATTATATATGCGAATTATTTAACACCTATCAGCTAACTTATGTCAGCATTATATCATAAAAACATTTTACTTTTCAAGTAATAGACTATCTTTGTGCAAAACACAGTTATAAGACTGTTGAGAAATCAGTTATCGTGATGTAGAAATTGACTAGTTTATTTATCATGAACGTTTTATCACAAATTCTTCTCCTGATCAATTTACCAATTCATAATCTAATTATCACAAAGGTGTAATGTAACTCAGTAATCAGGCAAATTCTTGATTTCAGTTTTACCTTCTTGCTTAAGGGTCAGTAATACTACACAACTGGATAAGACGACGTAGGTGTAGTTCGGTTCAAGTCGACGAATAAATAACTAGTCATTGAATACTTAAATAATAACATTTGTTTACTTTCGACATCATTTATTTATTCGAACTACTTCTTTGAATAAAATAATAATCAAAATAAACCTAATGTAATAACTAAGTGAAATGTTTTACAGGACTGTTTTGTTTCCAAAACAAAATTTCATTTACAACTCCTACTTTGGTTTTGCACCCTGGGGATTGTTCGCTTTATCCATTGCTTTAAATTTATTCATTGTATGAGAGAATGTAGAATGATGTCTGAAAATAGAAGGGAAAAAATAAACCAAAAACATTGTTTTATAAATAAGAAAGATAGTCAAAAGAAAAACAGTTATTTCGACTACGAATGAAACAAGCATGTTTGTTTTATTAGTATAATGATGTAACATAATAATATGATTATGATATTTCTTTCTTCAACAGATTAACAAAGTTGTTGAACCAATCTTAGTGAATTATCTGATCTTACTGAAAAGTTCAGTAAATCAAAAGAACGTTGGAGAATCTGATGAATGATTAATTAGACCGAGAATTGTGATACCTAGTTTCCTTTTACCTTAACTTTCGAAAACAAGTAAAGAATAATCTTTGGAATGATGATAAAATGAGAAAAGACAAAATGCGTTTGGGAACAAAAAGTCAGAAAATATTAAATAACTGATATTTTCCGAATTTCGAAAGGAAAAAAATATGTATTTAATGGAACGGTGTATTTAGATATTTGTACGGGGAATATATATTATTTATCACTGCAATATACTTCAGTTCTCCATTAGTTAAAAATTTATAGGACTGGCGATTAGTAGAAAACTTTACATGTAGTGATAATTATCTACAAAATGTAAATAACTTTATTAATAGGGAACCTGAAACTATAACTAACTAGACTAGTAAGTGAGTATAGGAAAAAATCGTATATTTAAACAATCGACAATCGAAAGGGAAGTCCTGTGCTTCCAGGTTTTCCTTGGTGGTCTAGCTTCAATTGACTCATGCTTTCAACTATGCAAATACTAAATCTCCACAAAAACCCCTTCTGACGACAATAATATGTTTTTTTATATAAATCGTAAACCCTATTGTCACGTGAATTTTAATTACAAATTAAGTTAGAGTTTAAGTTTAGTAAACCGTGGTAAAAGATAAAAAGAATCATAGTGAAATCAGTGAAGTAATAAAGTAAGAATCTACATTTTTCAACAGATTTCACGTTATATTTTGGTATAACAATGACATTGTATGCTTAAAAAGTGTGTTCTTAACCCCAAACACTTAAACTTCAGTGTATTATTGACTGATATCATATTGGTTGATTTATATAACGAGTTGACCCAAGTTAGATAACTGTTGAAAAATGAGAAGTACTGGATAATCATTTAGTACCAGTATGGGACTCCTTAGTAGTACGCATACACGATCCAACCAGAAATCAAACTCGAAACTTTCAGGTCTCCCTCCGAATGTTTAACCTTATGACTATTGGTCTACATTTCTAACTCCGTTTGATTTGCAATATTGAGTGACCACTATGTACTGGAAATGGCGATATTTAGTGGTGCTAAACCGATAACAGCTTCTCATTAGAACTCTGAGAATTAGCTAAGGAAGTTAGTTACTAGTGAACCTTTGATTAATTCCTGGTATAAAAGGTCAACTTGTCATTTAATAAATCACCAATCATAACGACTAGTCTATCCAATCTTACATATATACGCTTGTCTTATTTCATACCACGTCCAACATGATGAAGTAAAAATATGATCTTAAGTGACTTTTGGATATTTAGAAATTAGGAAGTTAACATGACACTGTATTTCTATCATTTAAATAGACTGCATATACAAGTAAGAATAATACATTTTGTTTCGGTCGATTGTTTCAATTAGAAGAAGTCCCTATTTTAATATGGAATTTATTCTATAACAGATGTTTACGATAAAATGAAGTATAGTTTTATCAGCATGTAATGAATTTAACCATTATCTAACTACTTATCTAAAGTTTATCGAAATAAATAAACCTTTATTATTACACGAATTGAATTTATATTAACTTAGTATATTATTGTTGTTTTCTATTAAATAGTGTCAATCAAATATAATTCAATATGAACGAACATGTTCTAAATCTAAACAAAGATGAATCTTTACAATATTGTAATTATTAGATAGTAATTCCATAGGAATAAATACTACCAACAACTAAACTTACCTTCGTAATGTAGTCATGTTTCCAGACATTATACTATCTATGATAAAATATTTTATAATATCCAAATTGTTTATTTTAATCCTTAAATAATAAGATTAGCAATATAGATTCTTTATATTATTCAAATAAAACAAAAGTTGATACAAGAATGAATAGAACAGTTCTAAAGATGAAATGATACTCAAATATTAATAGTTTTATATTACTTCATTGATCAATAAGTAAACTCAAGACATGTTCTATATGTCAGTTTACTATTCAGTAAAATAGTTCATATATTGGTTATGTACTCAACTGTATGATAATGTAAAGAAAAAAAACAACTTATCTTGATGACATAATCACATGACAAATAATAGAAATCTACAATTGTATTATGAATAATAAATAAATAGTGAATGCTGGTCATTTTATTATTATGCTCTTACTTACATACAAAAAACATCATTTTTTTTTTAGTGGAGTTTTAACAAAAGAAGTTTTTACTCATTCATTGATCGCATTACGAAAACAAGTTGTAATTTGTATTTAAAATCATTTGGATTGTCGAATATAGAATAAGTAACTTAGTGATTATAATGCTTGCAAATAGACCTTCAAGTTGATCTGGTTAGAATTTAAATGTATACTCCTGAATCATTCCAGTTGAAACCTATCATCAAATTACACAAATATTAGCACACCTTGCAATTATTAATAAAGATAAACAGTTTTCTAAGTTAGAAGCTTTATGTTATATATACTGTATATTTCTAACGAATTAATATGGACAGGTTGATATGTGAGAGCTATTTTCATGAAAGATAGTTTTTTCATCATATATATTATAGTCATTTTATTAATAAAAAAACTCAAATAATATTAAGTATCAATAAGGGAAGTGATGTGATTTTCAGATCACACTCACTTAAAATCAACTCAAAAAGTCAACCACTACTTATTTTCATCAATAAAGTAAGATAAACTATATGCTCTTATAAAGAATTTGAGATGATCTTTATTAAAGGCAATCATTCTCGTCAATGCACAAAAGAGATACATTTACATTATAACCATCGTCGAAATATTTGATTTATATTTTTTTCATTAGAATCATGAACCGATCTAATTCAGACCAATATTGAAAACCTGGAAGTACTAGGTGGACGCTTTGTCTTAGTATGGGACTCATCACCGGTGCTCACCCTCAACCTCGCACTGAGAAATCAAACACGTGCAAACGCTTAATCATTAGACCACTGAGTTGGCATACAGCAGTGTTCATGTCTAACTCCGATCAATCTGAAACATTGCTCAACTATCTTCTATTGTCTTCGTTGTGTTACTGCTTCACACTCTACATGAACTAACTCCACTGATCATAGCTTTTGACTAGGACTTTGGAAATTTCCTCTCGAAGAAAACCATTAGTGAGCACATGATAATTGTCAGTAAAAAGTTGTAAACTTCGGAATACTTTGAAAGAGTTCTTCAAGCAAAGAACCTAAATATGTTAAACAAACCGTGAACATACTGTAAGTGAGCCTATCAATGTATAAGTTGTGTAAGCATAAAAACACTTTTAGAGGTTCTAGACTATCGATTCATTGTATTACGACTTAATCGGTGTTTTTTTACTTTAACCTTCATCATAATTAAAAATAAATTTGTTGATTTCTGGAATAAAATTAGATTCGCAGGTTGTAACATAGTTTCAGTAGTAACCAAGTCATTTAACTTAGATACTTAGTAGCATACTAACATGGATGCATTTGTTTGTTTGTTGGCAAATATATCCAGCTGTGATTTTAATAAATGAAGTATAAGATTCATTTATATTATTTTCCATAAACTTATAGTTATTTTTATCCTAGCAATGCGTACAACAGGTTCATGGAATATTGTGAATGAACATTAACTGTATGGAAATTGATTTAATCAGCGGGTTGTCGGAAGTGGTCACTTCCATCTAAGCCTTACATTTCCAGTTGTAAAAATAGCGTTACAATCAGAGAAAATATATACCTCAATAAGTTTACACTTGAATAATACTATTGCTCCAGTTAAAATTGTATTAGTCGTCATTGCTGATGTATTACACCTGAATTTTCAGTGACTTTAATGATTGAATAACTTTCAAGAGATTGCAAACAGAAAACACAGTTTTAATTCAAATAGCATATTTATTATAAAACAACTATGATAAAACACTGGCTTAACTATTTTAATGTCTAGTTCTTAACTTTAAAAAAGAGTTTGCGAATCAATCTGTATGTGGTAATTTTAGAATGGAATGATTTGAACATTAATGGTGTTAAAGATTAGTTAGGAAATGAAATAGGTGTTAGTTAATAAGTGTCTGCAGTTGAGCCGAAAGATTTAATTTATGAAAACATCACCTTTTGTAGATACATTTCATTGTAATAATCTAATAGACTGAACTTTTACTATTTAATCTCGTAAAGAAGTGCTCAAATAACAACTAATATGAGGGTAACATGAGATTAATTTCCCTGACAAACTTTGTAAAACAATAACAACAAACAATATGGGATGAAATGAATAGATTTCATTACTTTGTTTATCCCAGATCTTCTACATATTCACTGATTTGTATAAATAAATAAAATGTTATACATGTGTAATTTGGTGTGTAACACAAATAAGGTCATTTGTTCACTAGTGAAAAGTAATTATAAATACTTTCCATATCTGTACAGATTCGATACAAAGATGAACAGGTTGAACAAACAGAGACCGTGACTTAATGGTGTAAGTGAATATTTGAAGATTATTATGATTACTGTAAGAGAAATAATGAAAGAAATCGTAATTACCAGAAAAAAAGGTTGTAAATTATTCATAGCAATATTCGCAGAAAGTATAAGAAAACAGAAGTAATCCAATATCAAAATTGATAAGGAGTCACATATATCACTGAATAATCTCAGAATAACAAGACTGGTTATACCAATCAAAAAGCAGAAACGAACATTTGATTAAATTGGAAATGAAAGTATAATCGTGATTAAAGTGAGACGAGATTAGACAAACAAAACCGAAAGAGAAAGAGATGTGCGGCAGTGAGTTGTTCATCATAGTGGTGCTGGATGAAGCACACGTTTTTTGTACCCATAAAGTAAGATTTAAATAAAAAATAGCACTGCTTCTGCCTTACATAGAAGTGTGTTGTTATTCTATCTATTTATTAAGATACAACTTGAAAAAAAAGTTTCTTAAAGATTGTCCACTGAACATACTGCATATTCATCTAGATGCGTTAATGTTTTTCACTGGATTTATTTCTTTAGTTAATGAATGCTGTCTATATGTTTATGAATTTGGACATCTTGTTACTTTTGTGACGGTTCCTTTTATTCTGTGACAATAAAATAGCAACAGTAAAACTCGATGCATTATCTTATGTCATTCTTGCATAGATTAAGAAATAAAAATATTTTTGATACTCAGCAAATACTAGTTTTCATAACTATCCTATATAACTAACATATCTCTGGATGAAATATCTAAATATCAGAGAAAGCCTCATGTATATTCTTTAGTAGGTCAGTGTTTTCATGATAAGTTCATGAAATCAATCTTCATTTTTGAACCAAATACTATGTTTATTTGATGAAGTATAACTAATAGGAAGTAAAGTAATTCTCCAACTATTTCATTCATTAATTTATACTCAGTAATGAGTTTGTTTGAGTGAATGTGTCATTACCATCTCGTATCAGTTCATAGTAATGTTTAATAGTGAGTAGCTCTAAAATTAACTAGATGCATTTCGTTTTATCTGTGACCCACCAGCTGGATAATGATTTATGTTATTGGAGCCATGAATATTGGCATGATATTTGTATTGAAATGGTAGCAAACTGAAGTGTGAATCAGTAATGACCAACGAAAAACATTTTGAATGACCAGTAAATGATGAGGCAAACTATAATCATGCTGAAGGCATTATTGAAGTAGAGTACTTAGAAATATGAATTTGAATTCATGTGTTAAACAAAAATACTTGGAAAGTATAAGGTCATGCTATACGTGAAAGTAAATATCTTATAAAATTATTACTCAACAGCTTTTCAGGATAAAAAATTCTATGTATTCAGAGTTGTTTACAATGTTACTGTTAATTAGACGTCCATAATTGATCCAATTTATGAATAGATAACGTTAATTCTACAAATCGTTGGGTTTATGAACTTAAAACATGCATTAAATTGAGGTTTAAAAGAGAACAGAATCAAATATCTGTTTGGAATTAACTGATTTGAATGGTAACATTCAGCTACATGATTATCAGCATGTGTAACACTCTTTCAGAAGAAACTATTTTGAAAAATGAAATAAACATTTTAGCAAAGTACGAAAAATTGTTTAAGGAAATAATACTATTTAAACTTGTATTACTTTAATTCGTTTACTTATTTACTCTGAAGAAATGGCTTAAATCAAGTCACGAAACGCCAGAAATACAATTTTCCTACTCATTGAGATATAACACAAAAACGGATATTTATTATTAACTTTCTACTCAATGCTCAATTTATTTAACACTATCAAGTCCAACGTTAACATTGATACGTAGAAAAATTAATTAGTTTGCAAAAATTGATAGCTTTGAAACTTTTCATTCAGATATCCAAATATCATATGAAAAAGAAGTAAGGCCCAGTATAGAGTGGGTTGGAGAATGCTAGTCGGCTGCCTATGCTCCATTGGGAGTAACAGGCGTAAGTAAGTAAGTTTGTGTGAAGTAAGGTTTTCATTGAATTATTTCAATGATCGTTTCTTTATGGTTTTTCATATTATCAAGATATGATGAAAATATATCGTATGGTTACATGTAATACGCTAAAAGTATCGATTTCGATTAAAGATAGAAATGTTTGAATATAACTCATGATATACAGTGAATTATTTTCTAGTTTCTTCATTGTAATGAATTAACCTACTATCAATGTCATTTTTCTAGTTTAGTAAAAGATCAGTTTTATTGACTTTTAAGTATTAATTGATCAAAAAAATCAAATCGATCAGTTCAAGTTTCTTTTGTAATCTATCAACTAATAAGTAATAGAATAAATGAGTAAAGAAATAGATATTTAAGGTTAAAAATGTTACTGAAAATCAGGTCAGTAAAGTAATTACTGTATATCCTATAAACATTTTCTTAATAGAAAAAATAATTAACAAGCAAGGTTTGGAAATCGGAAATTTTAAAAATGAGTAAATAAATTAATAGGGATTCATTAAACAGAGGCAATGGGTGTAATATAGTTATCATGTTGTTTTAGGCTTAAAATCATAACAATTAAACCTGTTACTAGTTTTCTGATAGATAGATTTTAAGAAAGAAGTGTTTAAAATACGGATAAAAGTTAAATCCATGAGTTGATGTATGCTGGAGTTCTAGTGAGAAGCTGTGACCAGTGAAGTCCAATCGGTGTCGGGTGGAGACAGGTATGGATGAATGGTTGCTCAGCCATTCATAGATCGATGGAAGTTAGACATAAACACCACTGGATGCCGGCTCAGTGGTTTGGAGGTTAGGCGTTTGCGCACGAGACCGAAAGTCCTAGATCCGGATCCGACATACGGGATCACAGACGCGCACTGCTGAGGAGCCCCCTACTAAGACTAAACGACCGTCCAGTGCTTCCACTTTTTCAATAGTGGTCTAGATAACATCGACTCATGAATTCAACTATTAAAATCACTACAATTATCACAAACCCCATTCTGATAATAAAATATGGACAGAAAAAACCTTTCTAAGGAATGTGTAATTTGCAGTGATGTTATTTCAACCGTTTGTTTTAATTATATTCAGTGTTAAGTAACAAATTTTCGTCCCTAAAGTCCTCAGTGAATAGATTTTTAGCATTTGAATTTAATGATATACTAGTTTTGATACGATGAATAAACTATGTCCTGATTTCCACGTTATTAATGAACTGATTGTGTATTATAGAAAATTTATAAAATACGTTATTTAAATAAGTTCAAAGCACAAGCGCTCACAAGATAAATGTGGTTTCAAATCACATTAGTATATTGAATGAGAATTGAAACAAAATTTCTTTATCTAAACTACTAGTTTTAGATGATTGTTTTAAATGGTAGAAATTGCCTAATATTATTTTCATTTGTGCAGATACATTATGTTCCATGGTACTTATATGAGTATCACGAAATACCTTTTAATTTAAAATAAATTTAGTTGATTTAGTCATTACAAGCAGAAGAAAACCCAAACTAAAGAAGTGTATAAACAAGCAAAAAGATATACTTAGCACTGCAATCCAGTGGAGTTTTATAAAACCACAACATTTCGCCTCTTAAATTGTAGTGTATGATGCTTACGTTGACAGATATAAGTATTATGTAACATCAATCAGAAGTGGAAACCTTGGCAACAGAAGCTCGAGTTGAAGAGAACAGAAATGAAAATAGAAAGGAATTGTGAACTGGAAGAATCATACAGAAGGTGAAGGACAAATAATGGAAATTTTCAAATTAAGTATTCAATGTATGATTCTCATATTTTACTAATACCTTCTGTAATTCTGTATTTAAGTGCATTTGGTTGTCCTCACTTAACTTCACATCCATTACAGTATGACACCAAGGAGAAAATCATATAATTATGCAACATAACTTGCTAATTCAGCTTCTAACAGCCTGTTGAAATGTAGATATTTTGTTCAGATAGTTCGATGTTAATATAGAAATAATTTTCACAATTATTTTGATCATGATTTTCAACTTAATATTGAAAAGTCATTACCAAACATCCAAATTCAATACGTTTTATTTTTTCGAAATCTTATTCATGATGACCAAATAATTCCCTTAAGTGAAGCACGATGTTGAAATTAATTACCTTTACTTATAGTAAAATATTGTCTACTGAGAGTAATGTAAAACTTTCGTAGAAAAAATGTAAATACATTTACTTGTATTGTGAAAAAACCTTATATATTTTTCAAGTCTTTAATCATGATCATATCCTATTAAGTAATTTTACTGATGAGTAGCATCGTAGATCATCCGGTTTTTGATAAATTTAGAAAAACAAATTCCCTTTGATATTAGATACTACGTGTTTAGACGTAAAAACTAATGCCTTACTAAATATAAGGGTATTATAAAACAATACTATTATGTAATACATGCATTATATGTTTTACTATGGTGTTTTATGACAACTGCAACTATAAACACAATCTAAACTTGATATATGCAATGCTACAAAATTACAAGAAATACAATCAAATCTTTCTACTAAAAACAGACCAATATTTTCAATTTTCAATGTATGATAAAAACTTTAGAAATGTTTATGGAATTATAATCACAAGGGGTTTTGTGGAGATTTCAATATTTTCATAGTTGAGATCATGAATCAATTGAAGCTAGACCAAAATGGAAAACCTGGAAGCACTGGACAGCCATTTCGTCCTATTGTGGGACTCCTCAGCAGTGCGTATCCACGATCCCGCCCCGCGAGGTTCGAACCCAGAACCTACCATTTCGAATCTCGCGAGGCGGGATTGTGGGTGCGCACTGCTGAGGAGTCCCACCATGAGACGAAACGGCTGTCCAGTGCTTCCAGGTTTTATGGAATTACTTTAAATTATTTTCATAAAATAATTTAATGATTTAGAGAACTAGTCAACATTTTTTTTTAAAAAGAAAAAAGAGGAGGTAATAATTATTTTTACTAGATTTCCTGAGAATAAAAAGACATATATTGAACGAAGAATATTTTTTTCGATGAATTCTTCTCAGGTTCTACAATTCTATATCCAAATTAGTATTCCGAAAAAAGTGGCCAGGTTAAAGGCAATATACATCGTTTTCCTGAGAATACTTTAATATCGGACATAAAAGTATAAATGAGGATCATTAAGCTTGATTAAAAGTAACTCAGGTGATTCAATAAATCGAATATAACGATAATTGAATAGAAATGAATAATCTACAATATACTTACTTACCTTTATCTCTAATGTTTAATTCACGTAAAATAGTTTTAATAAATTAATATTTATTATTTACTAGTGTAGAAGATGTCAACAATAATATAGAATAGACAAAATTGATCAAGGTCATTGACGAATTGTCCTTCGAGATTTATCATATTGTTCAAGTTTTATTCTTATTTTAGTTTTGTTATTCAGTATGAAAATTTTTTTTAAAAAAAGAGGTAGGTGTTTAATGGCTATTCCATGTGCATGTACACACAACAGGATTCTGATTTACCCTACAAGACTGTGATTAGATATACGTAAATAAACCAACCAAATGAAGCAAGGTATTTAAATAGGGAAATCTTTTTTTTGTTGTTGATCATATTCAAAAATACCCTTACAGAACAACTGATCAATTTTTGGTTGTATATGTCTGTTTAATGTCTATTACATCTACTTTACTATCTACTTCCTTAACTACCTACCTATCTAATAATCTATCTATACCAGCTATTTGAAGGCTTATATATATATATATATATATATATATATATATATATATCAATAAGTCACATGTCTGTCTTAAATGACCTAAAAAGGATTAACGATTTTTAATAATTTTATGGATATAACACTTAAAATGAAGGTTAACTGAATGAAAAATAGGGAAGGTGTTAGCTAGACAACAAAAAGCATATGGTGATTATGGGAGTACTAAATGATACAATAGAAGTCTGACATCATACTAATTATATATAATAGTTTCCGACAAAAGTTAATCTCAATGAATATTTTTAAATGAAGTCATTGTATTAGAACTAACTGATCTAACACCAAGTTGAAAATAGTGAACAAATCCATTTTATATATAGTTGAAATCATGAGTTAATTGAAGCTAAACCATCATGGAAAACCTGGAAGCACTGGACGGCCGTTTCGTCCTATCGTGGGACTCCTCAGCGGTGCGCATCCATGATCCCACCTCGCGAGATTCGAACCCAAGACCTACTAGTCTCGCGCCCGAGCACTTAACCGATAGACCATTTTAAATAAAAGTATGTGAAACACTGAATAATAATACACTCATCTGTATCATTATTTATTATCAGTCCAGACATTGATCCACATCAGTGATGAAGCAACGTTTCAGATCCAGAAAGGGGGAAGCCTGTGTCAAATATATTCATATTTTTTTAAACAGATTACAGAATTCTGTTTCAGTCAAACAGAATGACATTGTCTGGTTGTCCTAACTGATAGTTCTTAAATTCATCGCTTATTAATGTTCATCTCAAAAATTGGTCTTATTAACATTATTGGGTAATAACATTAATGTATGCTCAGTAAGTAGTGAACTTGCGTTTTCAAGTAATGTATTAACAGAATGCCATTTATCTTGACAGTAACATAAAACTAATAATTTTCGTCATTTCTCCCATGATGGAACAACTATCTTTTTGTAGATGTATAGAAACTAATAATGAAAGCACTCGTAAGGAAATTTATGTTCATTTATCGGTCAGATTATCACATGATTTATATGAATTTGTATACTTAACCACCGTCAAAATCAATCTGTGTACTTAAAAAAACAAGGTATGGCTAATTACTTATATGCTCACAATATAGTCTAAGACTTAAAATCGGACAATTTTTCAACTACGGTCATAAACGTATGTTGCTTCTGTTCTGTTCACACGAAGAAGCATATGATAGTAAACAGC